CATTAAAAATTTATCAAAGATCTTTCTGGGTGGGAGGTAAATGCCTATAATCCCAGTGATTCTGGAGGCTGAGGCATGAGGAGTATAAGACTGCCTCAGCAACTTAATGAGGCCATAAGTAACTCAAGACCTTATTTAAAAAAATAAAGGGCAGGGGATATAACTCAGTGGAGGAGTACCTCTAGGTTCAATTCCTGGTATCAAAAAGAAAAAATTCTTTTTTTCTTTTTTTTTTTTTTTTGAATTTTAATATTTATTTTTTTTAGTTCTCAGTGGACACAACATCTTTGTTGGTATGTGGTGCTGAGGATCGAACCCGGGCCACACGCATGCCAGGCGAGCGCGCTACAGYTTGAGCCACATGTCCAGCCCCAAGAAAAAATTCTTAATGATCTAAGGTGAAGAAAATTCTTGTGGGGCTGGGATGTAGCTCAGCAGTAGAATCTGTTTAGAATACTCGAACAATCCACTTTTATACAATATTCTTCTTACAAGAGAGCTTGCTAACCTGTCTATACAAGCTAAACAAWTTCACTAACAATTAATGTAACCCCTCTCCCCATGTGACTTTTGTCTTTAAAACYTCTTTGAAATCGMTACAGAAGCACATGTTCAATTTTGCTTAAATTTGTATTACTGAAGAACGCAACAGTGATCAGCCTAAAATAACTMATTTCTTAATTTATACCTCTGTTTCTTATAAGAGTTGACAACTCCAATATTACAAAAAGCAACATTTCTTGAAGACTATTCACTGATGTGGATAAATTGTGCAAAGCCAGGATTTCTCACTGAAAAAAAACTGATCTGTAATAAAAGTATGTGAAAAAAAATCATACATAATATTAAAACAAAACAAAAAAAATCAACAAACCACAGATGCCAACATTTTGGGGTTAAGTCAATTTTCAGGAATTTCAGAAGTGTCATGATTTAGTCAACCTATAGTAGCTCCTTTTCTATTCTTAGTTAAGAAATTACACTATCAGGGCTGGGGATGTGGCTCAAGTGGCAGCTCGCTAGCCTGGCATGCGTGCGGCCCGGGTTCGATCCTCAGCACCACATACAAAGATGTTGTGTCGGCCGAAAACTAAAAAATATTAAAAATTCTCTCTCTCAAAAAAAGAAATTACACTATCAGTCCTTGAAATTGGACTTCTAGAATCAATTGTTCTAAATTTTATATTATTTATTTCAAAATTCTAGCTAGTATTAAAAAATAAATAAAAAAGTAAAATGTAACAGTTAATATTTGGAAACTTACTACATATCAAGAACAGCACAAGGCCAGGCGTGGTGGTGCATGCCTATAATCCCAGTGACTCCCTAGCTGAGGCAGGAGGATTGGAAATTTGAGACTAGCTTCAGCAATTTAGTGAAGCCCTAAACACTTGAGACCCTGTCTCAAAATTCAAAAAAGGGCTAGGAATTGGCTCAGTGGTAAAGTGCTCCTGAATTAAATCCCTGGTACCAAAAAGAACTGTGCTGAATGCTTTGATTACAAAATCTCATTTAAGTGTCCTAACAAATTAATGAGTTCAACAATCCTCCCTTGGGCGTAGCAGTGGTTTGTAAGGGCAGACAACTCTATACAATTCCAAAGACACAGGCCAAAAAGACAGATCAGGCTGGCATGATGGTGCATGCTTATAATCCCACCCACTTGGGTGGCTGAGGCAGGAGGATCCGAAGTTTGAGGCTAAGCTCAGTACCTAGGTCCTCCACAATTCAGTGAGAACCTGTCCTAAACTAAAAAATAAAACTGGCCAAATTTTATTGTTATACTGTACATGTATATCGAATATGTAACAAACCCATTATTATATACAACTATCATTGTTGATTTTATATATATATATATATATATATATAGTGTATGTATACTGAATATGTAACAACAAATTCCATCATCATGTATTAATATGAAAAAAAAATAGACTAAAAAAACAAGTAAAAAAATAAAAAGGACTACAGATAGAGCTCAATGATAAAGTACACCTGGGTTCAATTCCAAGTACCAAAAAAAAAAAAAGATTATATTGACTCATGGTTTCCTTCCTTCCAATACTAGGGATTGAACCCAGGGGTGCTGTGCTGTACCACTGAGCAACATTTCCAGACCTTTTTATTTTGAGGCAGGATCTAACTTGCTAAGTGTCTCACTAAATCACTGAGGCTGTCCTCAAACTTGCAATCCTCTGTCCCAGCCTCCAAAATCATGAGGATTACACAACCATGTCAGGCTTGGCTCCTGGCTTTAGAGGTTTCAGTTCATGTTCATTTGGCCCCATCACTGTGATAATGCAGAACATGATGGAGCACATCTGCTCACCTCATTTCTGGAAAGCAGAGAGGGAGAAAGAGGGATAAGGGACTAGATATAGTTCCAAAGCCATGTCCCCAAGAACCCGCTCCCTTCAACTTGGTCCTACCTCCTAAAGTTCCCAATAATCCATTCAGCCATGAATCCCTCAATACATCCCACAGATGAGCTCAGAACCCTCATGATTCCCAAAAGTCCCACTTCTGTATCGCTATATTGGGAACCAAGCCTTCAATAGATGGTTGGGAATCGGGAATCATTCCTGATACCAATAACAATGGTGAAAGAATGACTGCTTTCCCTGTAAAAGATCAGGAGTAACATGAGGATTCCACCTTGCCAATTCTATTCAATATTTTACTAGAGGTTCTAGCCATTGCAGTTATACCCCCAAAGTATCCAGAATGGAACTGAACTAAAACTACCCTGTCATTTGCAGATACATAATATATAGAAAATCCTATTAAATCCACTAAAAAACTAATAGAATTAAGAAAATAGTTTGACTAGGTTATAGAATAAAAATTGAGTATTTGGGGCTAGAATCATGGCTCAGTGGTACAGTGCTTGCCTAGTGAATGTAAGGCACTGGGTTTGATCATCAGGACCACATAAAAATAGTTATGTCCATATACAACTAAAAATATATTTTTTAAAAAATTAAGGATTTTACAGAAATTGAAGATTTCATCCTAAAATTCATATGAAAAGAGTGAGATGAGAAGATTCAAAACAATCTTAAAAAAGCAAACTTGGAAAACTTATACTTGAAATTTACAAAACAGTAAACAAGAACACTGGGGTATTCATGTAAGACAGGCTTTGGTCAATAGAAAGCCAGAACCCATAAATAAACCCTCACATTTATGATCACTAATAAAGAATAAGTACATTTAAAAACAACCTAGCCGGGGCCGGAGTTATGGCTCACTGGTAGAGTGCTTGCCTAGCATGCATGAGGCACTGGGTTTGATCCCCGGCACCAGATACAAAATAAATAAAATGAAGGTATTGTGTCCATCTATAACTAAAAAAATTTTAAAAATAAAAAACTAGCCATATGTACATGAAAACATTTTTAACTTAACTAAGTATCAGGAAACTGCCTATAATCTCAAGGGTTGGGGCAGGAGGATCACAAGTTCAAAATCAGTCTAAGCAACACAGCAAGGCCCTAAGCAACTCAGTAAAACCCCATTTCTAAATAAAATATTAAAAAGGGCTAGAGATGTAGCTTAGTCATCAAGCGCCCTGGTACCAAAAAGGAAAAAAAAAAATAGCAATCTGCTTATGGTTTCTGTTTAAGAAATCACACCATCCAATTAAGTTTTAACAGTGATATTTTCATCTCAAGACTCTACAAAAGAAGCCTTGTAATTTGATACATCTCAAGAGAACCTCAAGTCATTGTCATTAAATCTTGGCAACTATTTTTTATAACTTTGAGCACAAAAGGTACAGCTCTAATCTCATTGGAGAAATTTGCTTCAACAGGCCACTCTCCCAGTTTCCCTCATGTACAAGCACACTTAGGGCATCAAGAACTTAAGCACTGCATAGCTGCCTTCCTACATGCACTTAGAATTCTTCAAGGTCTATAAGATTACCTTTTTCTCTAAGGGCCTCCCCCTAATGCCCCCCACAAAGTCTTGCTAAGTTGCTGAGACTGGCCTCAAACTTGTGATCCTCCTGCACCAGCCTCCTAAGTAGTTGGGGTTACAGGTATGCCCTACCACACACAACTAAAGGCTTCTTTCAAAATAAACTTTAACTTCAATAGCCAGGGTTGATGAACTATTCTTGCTTTATCTCAAACTGAATGCTTTCTATGTCAGGTTTACACAGCAGAGTATGTCTCCAATGAAAAGGAGGCGAGGCCTGCTTAGACAAAAATAAGGATTCTTGAAGTTCAACTCCATAAATACATTTTAAACAACATTAGACCAATTCCCTAAAGATTTAAGCCCCTATTATATCCAAGACACTGATAATCTAGAAGGGAAGAAAGATTCCCACACAATCAAAGGTAATAGGAAAGAACAAAGCTTTGGGGCAGGATGCCCTGACCAAGATATTTATTGGAGGTAATTTTGACTTAAACCTGTAGGTAAAACCAGATATAGCTCAATAGTGACTGGTACTATCTAACAAAATGAAAATCATGGGGATCTACAGGGATGGGTTTAAAATGACACAAAGCTCCATAAATTTACTTAGAGCTTAAAAAAAGAAAAATGAATTTCCTGTAAGACAATGTTAAATGCATTAGGTCACAAAATACTTCCTCTAACATGACAATAGCTAATATGTATTATCATATGCCCGTAGCTGTTCTATGAGTATTCCATGTATGAAACTCATATAACTGATCACAATAATCCCATGAGGTATGCATTTTTTGTTATTCCATTTCACAGATAAGAAAATTGAAACAGAACATTGCTGTGAAGTTACATAGTCAGCAACAGAGCTGAGACCTTAAACCAAGCAGTGTGGTATGACTGTGGGAACAACAGCCTTCATCATTACATAAGGCTTCCTAATACAAGTTGTGTGGTTACTAAAGATAAGCCTCACAGATAATTGCTTTGGCTTTATAGGACTAGTTCTCCCAGAATGGTGCTCTCCCACGACCCCCCATGCTAAAAACATTCAATATAGGCATAGTGGTGCACACCTGTAATTCCAGCAACTCTGGAGACTGAGGCAGAAGGATCCCAATTCAAAGCCAGCCTGAGCAACTGAGACCCTCAATAACTTGGTAAGATCTATATGCAGAAAAAAAAAAAAAGGAAAAGGAGGATGTTGATGATATAGATCAGTGGTGAATCACCTATAAGTTCAATCTCTATTACAAAAATAAATAAATAAATAAATCRAATAAGTTCCAGCACATTATGTACACCTCTGCCTAGGTAACTTCAACCAGTCACCTCACTATAAACAATCTCTTCCTGAGCTAAGGGTGTAGCTCAGTGGTAGAGTGCTTGCTCAGTGGGCACCAGGCCCTGGGTTGGAGGGGAAAAAAACAAAAAGCGGGTACATGTTACATATGGGAAATAACAAACCCCAAAATAGTGTGGCCTAGGAAGAGGAAGAAGGCAACACATTGATCCTTTCCCAATACATTCTTTCCCAGTGTCAAAGAATGTAGTGGGAAAGGAGATATCCATCAAGCCTAGAAAGACAGTTTCTGGAGGAGACCAAAGCATTGATCCTTCCCAAAATAAACCCTTTCCCAGATACTGATCACTCACCCCAGACCCTCCATCTAGCCTGAAAGAACAACCAGACAAGGCTCCTTGYCGGAGAAGTGCCCATTTATTGAGGAACAGCTCTGCTTATTTATARAGCCAGGGTGGTTTGACAGTTATGACAGTTTAASGGTTTGACAGTTGGCACAGGGCGCTTTCTGATTGGTGGGTAAGGATCATGTGAGTCAGCAAGGCTAGTATGATTGGTGGGTAAGGATCATGAGAGTCAGCAGGGCTCACCATTGCACGGCTCTTCTGGGGGGTATGGGGAAGTTAGTAGTCTGATTGGTGGGTAAGGATCATGTGAGTCATGTGAGTCAGCAGGGCTCACCATTGGAGGGCTCTTGGGGGGGGGGGGGAATTAGTCTTTGGGGGGGAGGGGGAGGACTCCCAACATAGCTCAGTAAAAACAGTTCTCAATTTCCTGAGTGCCCAAACTGACAAACTCATTATCCAATGCTGATCGATTGAATTAACATTTTATTCCACAACAGAGAAGTTATTTCTACAGTGTGAATAATTACCTGGTTAAACAAAGTCAGTGACATAATTACTTTTAAATGACTTACTCTTTAAATACTGTATGTTTACATGTCCTTTCACAGGTCAATCCCTTCAACCCAGAGCTTTTGTTTCTTCGGTTCTAGGGACAGCAAAAAAAACATTTTGATCAATAAAAAGCGCATTGCTGTGGATAATGAATTCCTTAAGGCTGCACTGAAGGCACAATAAGTTCACTGAATTCTTATTAAGCATGCTAAAAACAGAAACATTAAACTGGGTCTGTCCATAAAATACCAGTAGGTTGGTTCGAATTCATGTGCTCCTCCAGGCCCACTATTGTCCTATCATTCCAAAACAATAATACTTTAGCAATAAAAAAAAAAAAAAAAAACAACTGCGATAGTAAACGTGAATTCAACTGTACAGGAATGAAAAAAACACTAACACCTTAATATAGGTGCACAGTCAACACTGAAATAAAACGGGCCAGGTGCAGCGGTGCTTCAGGAGGAGGATTTGAACCAGAAGGTGGTTCAAAGCCAGCCTGGGCAATTTAGCGAGATCCCAAGCAACTCTGCCAGATCCTGTCTCAAAATAAAATATTAAAAGGGATAGGGGACTGGGGATATTGCTCAGTTAGTAGAGTGCTTACCTCTCATGCACAAGGCCCTGGTTTCAATCCCCAGCACTACAAGGAATAAAATAAAATAAAATAAAATAAAATAAAATGGCTAAGGATGTGGCTCAATGGTTAAGTATCCCTGGGTTCAACCCCCGTACCAAACAACAACAAAAACAAACATGATTTGATACAAAAAAAGACAATCACTAAACAAACTCTGAGGCTGGTCCATTAAAATGCACCCCAAGCTCATATTCGTCATTTCCCTTTATTTTCAAAGTAGGTATTCAAAGTACTACTAATAAACTCTTGGCAAAGAAATGATTCCCCGAAAGCTTGCAGCCAAACTCAGGAAGCTAAGGACCTTTGCTTAGAGAATCCCGCGTCCCTGGAGACCACCTAAAGGGGGTATGCATTTTAAAATGCCTCGAGGAACTAACTATTAGCATGGAATAATAGAGCATCTTCTGCACACACGCCTTCATAGGCCAACTGTAGATGCGTGCAGAGAAATTCTGTTCCAGGACGCTTTTGCTTAATAGGGCCGAGAAGGAGGGAAACCTAAACAGTAAAAACAAACAAACATACAACAACAACAACAAAAAAAAAAACAACCACAAAGGTTCTTCTTATCACTCCAACGACGGGACAGAATTAAAAGACATAATAAGCAGCACTCACAAACCCAAACCCGCCTGACCAACCGCCACACAGTTGAACAAAACGCGTTCCCGTCCTCGCCGGCCGCGACCTCTAAGGTTAAGCACGTCGAAATTTAAGGAAAGCAAACACCGAGGCGGGGCCCTCCCGACGCTGGGCTGGGCCTGGGCTGCAGGGCAGGGCCGACCCACAGCAGCGGGCAACACCGAGGGCGCGGCGCAGCCCCGGGTGGCGGCCCGCGGGGCGCGCGCCTGGACGCCTAGGTACCGGGCGGTCCGAGGCTCGGACCTCGCGCAGAACAAAAGCGCTGGGCCGCGGCGCACAGCTCAGCTCGCCAGCGCCTCGGGCTCCCCCTGACCCCGCCCCGCCTGGGATCCCCCAAGAGGAGCCCGGGGCCAGGGTCCCGACCTCACACTTACCGAGAAGCGCTGAGGACGGCGTTCAAACCAAACCCTGAGAAGCGGGAGAACGCCCCCGGCCTCCCGGGACCCGGAGTTTAAGTCAAGTCGGGTCCGCCCCTAGGGGTGGGGCGAGGAGCCAGTCTCGGGCTCCCAACAGTTGAGCCCCGCCCGGGCCGGCGGCAGCGCGTGCCTCGCYGCCGCGGTCCTAGTGCCGGGTAGATGAGCCTCCGCTACGCAAAGCTCAGCCAATAGCCTTAGGTTTGCAAAACTCTTTTATTTGTTTGTTGGGATAACTCGAGCGGTCCGATAACTTTAATTTGTGTCCGAATTGTTACAGAGGAATSGCGTGGAGCTGAAGCGACCATGTGATCCCCTGTGTGTACCAGCAGGAAAGATTGCAAACCAGACGCACAGAAGAGCAAGCAAGAGTTTATTAGCGGAAGCCTGCTGTGGTGGTGATA